AAGGAGGAGATCTGGCTATGAGCTCGGTCATATGCGAAGCAAGTCCGCTCTGTTTCGAAGAAGGCATCGAACACGGTGTGCTCCAAGTGAGGATTCAACTGTCTGGCATGCAAAGTTGCAACACATTGATTCATCTTCACTCCTAAGACACACTTGACCATCGCCGCCATGGCAGCGCCACCCTCCAAGTGTCCGATGTTGCTCTTGTTGGAAGACATCATCAAAGGCTCCGACCGGGGCATTTTCCGTTGGACCTTGCGCACCGCGCCCACCTCAATGGGATCCCCCAAAGATGTACCGGTGCCATGGCATTCCCAACAAGTGGACTCTGGCGGCGTCATTCGCGCCTCTCGAATGGCCTTGTTAATGATCTCTTCTTGTGCAGGTCCGTTGGGTGCTGTCAATGATGCACTGCGGCCATCTTGGCCGACACAGGAGGCTCGATAGATGCAACCTTAGCTGGTCTTGGCGCGTAAAAGCTCCTAGTAGCGTCCTTCCTCCTAGCGATGCCAGCAGCCCCTAGTAGCGAACATTGTTCCTAGCTCTATCACCCCTTAATGACTTACAAATCTTACAAACTGCCATGCACTGCACGCGAAAAAAATGGAAGCAAACATGCCATCATCTTCGCCAGCAAACCTTTCGCATCATATTCGCCATACTTCAAGACCATACCCGAGGTCCCTTCACCTCGCAGGTAACCATTGGCGGTTGAATCGAAGGTGAAGCAGCGGCCTTGAGGTGAAGTCATATGGCCCAAGGCACATCCAACCCATGGCCCTGGCGACAAGCAGAGATGTGTTCCAGTGGCTACATGGAAATCCAAGACATCCCAAGTGCGATCCAACAACAAAGGCTTGGCCAAATGTGTTGCTGTCAGAGATGCTGAACAAGCGGTGTCACAAATGTAGTTGGGACCCTTCAAGTTGAAGACGAAACTAAAGCGATTGGCAATGATCGCCAAAGCATTGGTGCCACCGCATCCAAGTCCCAAAGTAGGAAAGTCCGCTTTGTCCACACCCACCGAAAAGCCCACATGGTGAGATTTCTTGTTGGAGACCTTCTTGCTGACGCCCATCTGATACATCAAGGCACCACCAACCTCCAAGACTTGTCGTTGCAATGGATCCATATTGTTCGCTTCATTGCTGGAAATCTCGAAATATTTGTTGTCGAAGAGCTCAATGCCATCGACGAAACTGGTGTGTTTTTGGTTCATCCTGGGATTCATCACTGTAATGGAATCGGGATCCGCTGTGAAGTACGCATCAACATCAAATCTAGTCACCGGAATCTCAATCACTGCATCTGTACCAGCATTGAGGCCAGTATTGTACATCTCTGGCTCATCCCATTGTGCTGGCATACGGGTCGCAATGTGCAAGACATTGATACCCTGTCCTTCGGGTGGGGGAGGGCCATTTGGCGCTATGCTTCCTCCCAGACATAACCACGTTGAAGGATCAAAGTCCTTGGCAGGATTGAGGAACCATCTGGGCTGTTCCGAGAGGAATGCCGTTGAGATGGTCAAGACCTCACCATTGAAAGTGGTTGAATGCGTAAAGCAATCTGGTCGGAAGAGCAACAAGGTCCCCGGTGATGCAGTGATTCGAATCACTTCTTCTTGCAAAGGCAAGGCCGCGGCATCCGGACCTTCCTTCGTCTCCAGCTCCAGCAAGGTGGAGTTGGGACCGACAAAGTGGATCACTCGAACAAGGCCACGGCGCCAGGTGCTTAAAAAGTCACCTAGAATCTTGTCATCTGCTGGGGGAATGGGATAGTCCTGCCAGAAAAATGATTTTTAAATGAACAAAAGGATGAAAGCTCAATACTACACATCTACTGTCAGATTTCTCAAGTGCACAAGCTTGGTTAAAAAACCAAGTCAAAGCTCCACTCCCTGCTCTGGTCCTCTTCTTCCTCCTCGTCTAAGGACAAACTGAACAAGGCTGGAGTCCGTTCCTTGATGGGCTTCTCAAATACGTCGCCACTGAAGGGCTGCAAAACAGATGCCAAGTAGGAAAGGCTCCTTCGATCGGAATAAAACCATGCTAAGCATTGCTAAGCGTTGCTAGCATGTTGACAGCAAGGTCTGTCCAAAAATATCAACAAAAAGAATTAAAGGGTTCAACGGGTATCAACAAAATAAATCGGTAGGTTGGAGGCCATCGCTATTAGGTTGGAGGCCATCGCTAAATAAAATCAAGATCTGTCTGAGGGTCTGATCTGCTGCCACCAAGGCTTGATGGAGGTTCTTTGACTCCGGATCTAGCCAAAGGATTCGGCCTTTACCACCGAGACCCAAATAGCCCTCTTCAACTTCTTCGGGTAGCCGGCCCAGCTGTCCGTCTTCTGCGAGATCCCGCATCACGGGGAGGAGGTCAGGTGAGGAAGGCGAAGGCATTCGAAGGACGCAGAAGCCTTTCTCAAAGAGACATTGAGACATTTCTTCTCCTAAGATGGCATCGGAAGTTTGGGGTCCTAAGACCAAGTCGAAACTGTCGGATCCACCTCCTTGTAATGGTTTTCGAAGGTCCGATGCGACAGTTACTGACGTCGATGCACTTTCGGTGGCGCCCAAGAGCAAGACGCGTTGCCCATGGCTCTGGACTCCTAAGGTTCCGTCTTCCAAGCGCACCAAGCTGCCGGTTTTTGGAACCGACATGTTGAACAGCTGCTGAGCCGAAACATGACGGCTTAGCCGTCTGGGGCTGGAGACCAAAATGCAAAAACAAAGTTCATAGGCGCCTGCTTAATTAAGTAAGGGCTAAGTCCGCTCCTAGCTACTTACGTTTCTAGTAGCTGGACGCAGCATAGCTCACGCTTCTTCAAGGAAGCTCCTCCCGCCTGAGGGCGAGGGGAACTTCCTCGAAGAAGCGCTCGCAATGATGATTTGGTTCCTAATAGCGATGGCCTCCACCCTAGGAGCGATGGCCTCCGGGAAACTAATGATTTGGTCTGAACAAAAGATGACGGCAAATGCTGGCCGAGGTACTCTACAAAAAGCGTCTTGGAGGTCTCCGCCGAGAAACTCAGGCAACACTCTGTGACATTGCAAAAAGGTATGTTGCATTGTTTACCTTTGTCGTTCCGTGCCTTTCATTGGAACTCTTCCTTCTTCAGATCTTTAGACGTTTTACTGTCTTTTCCGTGTTCTTTGCTTTTCTAATAGCTTCTTGTTACTACTAGTAAGGCACTTGTTACTAGAAGCGATGCAATTGTTCCTAGTAGCGAACCTTGTTACCATACATCTTTTGATTTGTTGAACCCAAACATCTAACTTCGCACCTCTCAAGCGTCAGCTCTAGTGGCCGGACCTCATCGGACGGCGATTTGTCTGCCCCAGTTCGAAAACCGCTTCGTTGTTGCTTTTGGCTTCTTTGGCTTTGCAGACAAAACGCTTTTGGCTTTGCAGCTTTCTGTGCTCCGGCAATCGAAGGCACAGCACAAGTTGCGTGAGTCCTTTTTTGTAACAGCCATCTGCACACAATCCCAGAGTGCGCCTTACAAGGGAAGCTAAGTCAGCTAAGCTATGAGCGCGGGAACAGTTCAATGAGGAGACAAAACTGAAGACCAGCTTGAGGATTGATAGATTGATTACAAACCTCATTGACTGGCGGGCTCATTTCCTACGAAAAACTGAAGACCCAGCTTGAGAGCTTTCTTCTCAAGCTGGTTCTCAAGGATGCGATCAATGCTATCCTGTTCCATATGGCTTGAAACCTGGTTTGTATCGATGCTATCCTCACGGCTTCAAAAAACTAATCGATGCTGAGTTGGAGATCCTAGTTGTGGCTCCAACTCTGACTGGCCTGCTTCAGTCTGATGTCTATTCCTCTCCTGAACACCCAATTCCGGGAAAACATGTTGTACATTTGGAAATAGGTTGTTATTACAGCGGAATCTGCGAGCTTCATTCTGGGCTGAACAACAGTTTCACCATCTGCTCAGAAAGGAACACGTCTGCAGACACGCAAAAAACTGATCGAAGGGCCACATGCCAGCAGTGTCCAATCCTTGGCGGTCTCCAACTGAGAGCATGGAATCGCGTGCTCCAACCTAGCGATGGTCTCCAACCTACTAGGCACTTGTTACTAGTAGCGATGCACTTGTTTCTACGTTCGCTTCTTGTTACTACTAGTAAGGCACTTGTTACTACTAGCGCCATCACTGAGTCGTTGTCACTTCCTCCAGACCAAGTCGAAACGGCACTGCCACCCGCACGATAGCCGAAAGTGGAGGCGCGCGCACCCCCTCGTGTGAAGGAGGTGCATCCGAGCAAACTCTCCGGGTCTGTCAGCTCAACTAATCAGAGTCAAAGCATGCTGGCAAGATATGTTTAGAGTTTCAAGGTATTAAGGTGGTACTAAGTTACTCAGTACTGAGCTTTGTATTCAGCCTTCCCAAGGTGGTAGGAACATAGAGGTCGTGAAGGCTAAAGCACCCTAAAAGACCTACAGTAAAGGATGGCTTCTCTAAAAGCTCCAAGCGGTGCAGGCCGTCTTAGACTCGTTAGAAGGAAGGTATTGTCAACATAAAAAGGTCAACAAAAGCAAGTCCCATCAATTGTTACTAGTAGCTTCTTGCTACTAGTAGTAATGTCCTTGTTACTAGTAGCGATGTCCTTGTTACTAGTTTAATTTTTGTTTATGTCCAATCAAACACATCTGACTTCTCAGCAGAACAGTCCCTGCCAAGTTTGCCTCCGGCCCACCTTCTCTAATCAATCCACTGGTTCAAGCAAACCAGTGTCTAATGTCTTCCAAAAGAGGCTTGTCTGGTTTGGCCTAAGCGTTGAAAATGGAAACATCATCCCGAAACAAGCCTCAATGGGTTCAGCATTAAGCTTGCTTTGATCGGCGAATTTCCGTCAAAGCCTAACGCCACCAACGTGGGAGAATCTGTGTCCCATGGTGTCTCAGATCTTCCTGTTGCGTGAAATCATGGTCCAATCATGCTGAAAATGCACCTCTGTGCTTCATGGACCACCATTTTTTGGTTCAGTGCTGATTGATCGTCGGCATGACCTGCGATGCATGATGCCGGCATAGTCGCACAACAAACCTCCGTGGAAATCTAAGAGCAATAAGGAATCTAAGAGCAATGGACTCCAACCGACTAGCGATGGCCTCCAACCTAGTTAAGTTTCCCAAAACATCTAGGAACCCAATCAATACCGCGAGCAATCCTGCGTCCATCTGTAGTATCTACCTCTTCTGCTAGCTACCTCTCCCAGAAAATGTTTCGGCCGAGCCGGGTTCGGTTCCGCGCCTCTCGTAGACGTTCAAGAGCATGATTGACGTCTTGAGCAAACAGTGTGCCACCATCCTCCTCGAGCAAACAGTGTTTCTCTCACGTTGCAAGATGGAGAAAGAATGTGCCAACGTGACAATCACTTCACTTTTTTTCGCCAAAAGCTTGATATTTCAACACGCTTGTCTGAGTTGAGACATTGTGCAGGCCTGAGACCCTTTGCAGACTGAGTTCGAGGCTGTTGAAGACCTGGAGAGAACCAAGCCCAATAATCCTGCAAAGGTCATCTTTCCCAACACGCGTCCTTGGTTGGTTCGGACCGTTTCTGTTGTTGTGCTTTTTGCTGCTAGGCTTTGTCGAAGAAGCACATCACTACCCACCAACCCCCTACTTACCGTTCCAAGAATCTTTATCTTAGGCATGATTTACTTTCATTACCAAACAAAATGCCTGGTTGGAATCATCAGAGTCCTCATTTTCTTCGTTTGTTTTGTTTTGTGTGTGTTTGCTTCTAAGTCGCTCATATTCTGCTGCTCGCTAGGAGACCACGAAGCTGGGACATCCTTACGCACACGTGATGCTCCACAAGCGAATTCTTTCCAAGACCCAGAGACCTAAGACTCAAGTTTCCATTTAAATCCAGGAACCAAATGAATAGTGCAAGCTTCCTTGAAGAAACGTGAGCTATCCTGCGTCCTAGGTAGTAGCTCACTAGTAGCTACTAGCTGCCCAGCTTCTACTAGCGAGGTACTACCTCCCTCGCCTACTAAGCCCTTAAAAAGGTACAGTAAATATGCAAATATGTAAATCAATACTATATTAATAACTTTGTTCTTGTTTTTTGTGCGGTGCCCGTCAAGACGGACCTTTCATTTCCCCAATGCCGTCGGCCAAGGCGCTGGGTCCAGGCCTTTCCAACGAGTCTCCAAAATCTGGAAAAGCTCTTCGCATGGAGAGCCGAATCCAAAGTGTTCAGCCCGAGCACGCAAATGACCCATCACCTCAACGGTGTGCCAAGCATATTTGAGTGCCAAAACAACTTCGGATTGGCCAGGAGGCAATTTCAAGCAGGTGCTGCTCTTCCACTTTCACCAACAATCTCCTGTCCGCAATCGAAATCGCTGCTGTGAAGGTTCCCATTGGCTCACGATTTGGTGACGTCCTCTGCGACTTGTCCAGGCTCGTTGGCCTCTTCGGGTGCTCTGCATGGCAGTAGTTGCATCCAGCACCGGCTGCACAGCCACGGGTGAAGAAATGCACCTCGACTAGCTATGCCTCCATCCTACTAGCGATGACCTCCCACCTAATAGTGTCCTTGTTACTAATAGCTTCTTGTTCCTAGTAGTAAGGCCAGGAGCTACTAGTAGCGTCCTTGCCTAGTAGCGATGCCAGGACCTAGTAGCTTCTTGTTACTAGTAGTCTAGGCTTTTGCGCTTTTGCTTTGTCACTCCCTCAAATCCAAAGCACACACGGCCGCTTGCAGAATTCAGGATGACCTCGAGAGCCCTGGCTGAATTCACCTCACACCATTGACGTAGAATCACTCAAAAGAACAACGATATCCTTTTCACAAAGAAAAGGAACATCAAACACTCCTCTTGCTCAAGTCAATAAGGCACAATTCCAAGACTAGAGACCTAAAAGTGGACTACAGTAAGATGGTGGTAAGGAATAAGAAAAAGATAGAAAGGAAGAAAAGAAGGAACTTGAAGGAACATGAAAAATCGAAAACATGTCAAGTTTCAAGGTCTAACGGGAAACAAAAGAGAAGGTAAAAGTCCAAGACTTGAGACCCAATGTGGACCAAGCGAACTAACGTTAGTGAGACGATAGAACCTACTAGCAATGGCCTCCAACCTAAGAGCGACTAACACAAGATGGAAAGATCTGAGGCACAAACCAGCTGTCTGAGTCTCAGCCGAAGCAGTCTCGGTCGTCTCGGTGGTCGTCTTCAGGTCATTGTTGCTCATTGGGCCTCGAAGAATTGCGTCACTCGTTCTGTCGTAGAGTAGCTACTAGTAGCCTCTTGCTCCTAGTAGCGATGCCAGGAGCCCCTAGTAGCTTCTTGTTCCTAGTAGTAAGGCCAGGAGTTACTAGTAGCGTCCTTGCTCCTAGTAGCGATGCCCGTTGCTACTAGTAGCTTCTTGTTCTCATTTCTCACTTCACCCAAGAAGGAAAATGATAATTCGTGCCTGCAAAGTTTGGCTCGTAGCACACTGTCCAAATTGCATTCACCTGGCTCAACATATCACGGGGGGCTTGTTCTAGAAGGAAAAAACAAAGAATGAGAAGAGCTCAAAGAAGCAGCAAACCTCTTCATACAAATGTTCTTGCTTCACTGGAGAAGCTGTTGAGATCTCATTGGATTCCCAATCCTGCAGGTCTTCAGTTCAAGCGTCACGTGGCGGCCCGCCTTAAAGTTTCCCAAAAATCTAGGAACTATATCATCAGTGCAAGCGCTTCTTCAAATCATTGGGCGGGGAGAGCTTCCGTGAAGAAGCACAAGCTATCCTGCGTTAGTAGTATTGGTCTCCACCCTAGTAGCGATGGCCTCCACCTAGTAGCTTCTTGTTCCTAGTAGTAAGGCCAGGAGCCCCTAGTAGCGTCCTTGCTCCTAGTAGCGATGCCAGGAGCTCCTAGTAGCTTCTTGTTACTACTTAAAAAGTAGGAGCGGGCTAAAGAGACATGTTCCCAACACCATGGTGAAGCAGTGGGTGTCCTCATCGAAAGTCCGATGTGGTGGCTCACTTTGGGCACGAAACAGCTTCGGATGAGGCTCCTGCAAAGCCGCTATGCGCTACAGAGCCCTCACTGAGCAAAAACATACGAGGTCAGTCTGAACATGGCTAGAAATGGCTAGACATCCAACCTACTAGCGATGGTCTCCAACCTATCAGCGATGGACTCCGGCCTCCAACCCAAGAGCGATGGCCTCCAACCTACTAGCTATGCCTCCAACCTAAGAGCGATGGCCTCCAACCTAAGAGCGATGGCCTCCAACTTACATGATGTCAGAATGAAATAGTGTTCGGTCCTGGGTTATGACTTGTAAAATGTGTGTTTGCCCTAAAAAGCACTGCTTTGGGGGTGCAAATGGAATTGGCTGCGGAGTGCCGTCAATGCCTACAAGGCTGGCTGGTGAGTGGTGATTCTCCTCAATGTCAATGAAGGTTGCTTTCACGCAAATCTTCCAACCGTTCATCACCTGCCAACGGCGTGCAGTTCACCCAAGTTTCTCGCTATATTTCGGAGAACAACGAGGAGATCTCGCTTTTTGTGCCTCTTCACCGAAACCCAGACAATCTGGCAACGGCCCAAGTGCCCAAAGGCTTGAGCCAAGGCCAAGAGATGTCAAAGGCTGGTAGCGAGCCGATGCTGAGGCTTTAGCTTCTATAGCTGCCCTGATGTCTACTGGAAAAAAAAACACATGCTTGATAGAAAAGAAAACAATGTCATGAACCGCCACAAACGCTTCACGGTCCAAGCCGTCAACATGGCCCTGCCAGCCGCACGACTGCGTATCCTTTGAGGCCATGGCCAAACAGTCAACACCGGAAACTGGACCCTCCGCAGCTGCCACCTGACAGGCCGTGACAGCTTCTGACAAGTCAAGCGTTGGACTATTCAAGTGCACGGCAGGGAAGGTTTCGCAAAGACCCAGTAGCCATTGCAAAGCTGGCACCAAAGCCTGCAAATCTCTGAAGCGTCTCCAGGGTGTTAGCAATGCCCTCGAACCTAATAGCGATGGCCTTCAACCTACTAGCGATGGCCTCCAACTTCAACCTACTAGCGATGGCCTCCAACATAGGAGCGATGCCCTCCAACCTAATAGCGATAGCCTCCAATCTACTTTACAAAACAGGTGAAGAAAATCATGTTTACATAACTTACGTGCCTCATGACTGTTTGAAGCTAGTCGATTTCTTTTGGTCCCAATGAATCTGCTGCGAACACAAAGGGAGAGATCAAGAACGATGGAGAATGAAACATGTACATAGGAAGCAAAACAAATGTCATTTGAGACATACATGTCGAATGATATAGAATGCTGTCCTAGAACTTCTTTCCTTTTCTGCCACCGTTGGCAGTCAATGCTCCAAACAGTTGACCCTTCCAATATCTCGTACCTCCAAGGTTTCTCCTGAGAAGCTTGACAATGGTGGCCACGGCCATTCGGAACTGGAAGATAACCTCGAAGAGCTACAGCGCTCACATCACGGCACAAACGAAGCAAACGGATTTCAGCTTCATTTTTCTGGTCTCCAACCTACTAACGATGGCCTCCAACAAAATGTTTTGAGGTCGCGACAAAGGCAGCAAACGGGATGGAAACGCATGAAGAGCAAGCTCATACGGTGTGCAAGCCTAGGGGGCTGCTTTTGCAGCTGCAAAATGTCAAGCGCTTAAATATCTAGTGTCAACAAACCCTACTTGGGAAACGTGGTTTCAAAGGCGCTAGTCATCTCTGGCCCTCTACTAACCCTCTTGGCAAACTTGTCAGAACACGTTATCTTTTTTCCCTTTTCTTTGGACCGTTGTTCCCTTCTTCCCTTCTTCCCTCCCTCCCTCCCTCCCGTCCTTTTTTTTTCCTTCTTTCCTTCTTTCCTTCCTCCCTTCCTCCCTTCCCTCCCTGCCTTCCTTCCTTATTTTCCTATTCATATCTACTATGTTTTAACCGACCAAAAGCCTAGAACAACTTATCTGAAAAATACTCTCTCTATTTCTATCCGCCCGAAGCCTCAGAGCGCAAGAGCTCCGCAACGTCATCCAGCCTTAAAAAACAAACCATCTTGCTCGCATGTCCGCTCTTGGAAGGCTGCGAAAGCGTGTTCGAGAAGGATCAACACTAAATCTGTGTACCTACTAGCGATGGCCTCCATCAGCAATGGCTTCCAACCTGCTAGCAATGGCCTCCATCCTACTTTCGATGGCCTCCAACCGACCAGCGATGGCCTCCACCCTACTAGCGATGGCCTCCAACCTAATAGCGATGGCCTCCAACCTACTAGCGGTGGGCTCCAACCTAATAGCAAGGCCTCCAACCAAATAGCGATGGCCTCCGACCTACTAGCGATGGCCTCCAACCTAATGCGATGCTAGACCTACTAGCGATGGCCTCCAACCTAATAGCGATGGCCTCCAACCTAAAAACAGCGATGGCCTCCAACCTACTAGCGATGGTCTCCAACCTACTAGCGATGGCCTCCAACCTAATAATAGCAATGGCCTCCAACCTACTAGCGATGGCCTCCAACCTAATA